GGTACATATAGTAACCACTAAGATTTGAAGGTTTAGAAGTTCATACTCAGATCTGCATTTTCGACTTCGCCAGTTCTGCTTCTCATCAATCCAGTTCCAGATGGGTGTGGTAGCGTGCTCTGGCACTGTTCCCAGGGATAGCGCGAACCACTAAGTAGTTCGCTCGTTGTGATGTCGTTGACACGTGCTGCTACAAGCCAAACAAGTTTGACATCCCACACCTCAAATAAATCCAGCTTCTCGTTTAGTAAAGAAGGGATGTATGAAGATCCGTCAATAGGGTCGGTTTTGCAACCGTCTGCCACGCGCCGATACAGTGGAGCTGAATTTTGTCTTAAGTAACATCACACAACAGCTTAGTCACTAAAATAGCTAAGATATTTCCAGCCTTTTATGGAAATTCAAGGTTCATTACGAGATCCAATCACTGTATTATATCCTGAACCAGTTTTATCTAATATCTCAAACTATGATGAGGATCTGCTGGATATAACATAGTTAATATAAAGGTAACACAGAAATTATAACTGACTTTTCGCTTAGTGAGGGGTGGAGTACAACTGGGTCCACTCTGCACGTCGATCACTGATTGGTCTATTGTAGCCTGCCCCGGGTGGTTATGATGCAGAATTTGGTTGAATGAAAATTGGCAGGGGAAACCGAAGTACCCGGAGAAACCCCCCCCAGCGCCACTTTGTCCACCACAAATCCCACTTGACCAGACCCGGGATCGAACCAGGGCCGCCGCGGTGGGAAGCCAGCGACTAACTGCTTGAGCTATGGCGCGGTCTCATAATTGACGTTAATAAGGAGTTTTGTCTAGAAGTGAAAGCAGAGAAAACTAAGTATATGTTGCTATCTCGTCACCAGAATGCAAGGCAAAATCATGACATAAAGATAGCTAACAGATGTTTTGAAAATGTGACACAGTTCAGATATTTGGGAACAACGATAACACATCAAAACCTGATTCGGGAGGAAATTAAGAGAAGGTTGAACTCGGGTAATGCTTCATGGCGTAGTGCTTAATTATTTAAGCACAAAGACAACTTTCATGTGATACCAGTTATTCAAAGTTGTCTCCTCTTTTCCGGCTTTCAAGGAAAAAGTTTTTCACGGATATTTCATCGCTTTCGTATGTGATCTATGCTCCACCCATGTAATACTTTTTCATTTGCTCAGCTTAATCACGGTTGCCCGTAAAAATATTCTAACTGCATATGCGCAGTTTCTTCAGCCTTATGTTGCCTCTCCTCTCGAGGGTTCACATACCGACAATCAATGTCCTTGCCGCAGGAGACCAAATGTCATGTCCTTATAGAAAGAGACAAACGTTACTGAGTATGGGGATCTCGCAGCCGTGTCTGTGAACAGTGCTGCCGTCTGGGATGTGACAGTCTCTATTTCCATAGAAATTCACCGACGTTTCGTTCGTGAGCTCTGCCTCCATCTGCAAGACCGAAGAATAAGTAATTCAAGTAAACAGCGAGAAAACCCTGCTTCGTCCCTGAAGATGAAGAAGCACGTTCCTCCGAAACGTCACTAATCATCTATCACAACTAAACGGCGCCACATACCAAAAAGTAATACTCTTTCATTTTATTTTATCTCATGAAACGGAATCTGTAACATAAATTTAAAAGTTGTAAAAGTAAAGTTGTCCCTGTGCTTGTATAATTAAGCACTAAGCCATGAAGATGTATGGGGAAGGCGATTGGTTAGCTTAACGCCCTGACAGTTTAACCCCAGGGGAAGAGCGCCCCGTATCGGATAGGGGGCTGGTTGGGCCGAAGACCCGGTCTGGACGACGTGGAGAAGAGAAAATTCTTGACCCTACCGAGACACGAACTCCTGCCCCTCGGTCGTCCAGTCCGTAGCCAGTCGCTGTAATGACTGGACTATCCTGGCCCCATTAAAATTTGTTCCTCTGCTTAATAAAACAGCATGTCACGGACACGTATGAAGAATTGAGTTAGAGCTCCATGCATTCTTAGCCTCCGCACTCGACTTAATACTCTGCGAGAAAGCCGCAGATACGAGTATCCGTTGTGTAGGAGGTTGGGTGGGTCCCGTGTAAGAAGAATGTCTTGGCCTGTCATAAATTGAACTCCGATTCTTCGGTCGTCCTGTGAGTTGCCGAATCCCTACTGTGACTGAGCTGTTCCTTTCAAATTTCTGATATACTCTTATAGTACGTAAATGAGGACGATTGGAAGACTTCGGCATGGATGGAATGATAATATTAAAATTGATTTTTAAGTAACAGGAGATGGATGCTGGTGGATTGGATTCAGTTACCTGAGAATAAGATTCAGTGACAGGGTCTTCTGAAAACGACCAATGAAATTTTGTATTGCAGATAAGTTGGGTTACACCTAGAGAGCGTGTATGCATTAATCACGTGCCGTAATTATCCATGCAGTGAGTGTTCACTTTTCCTGAAAGGACCATTTTCTTATTGGCCCAGACAGGGGCCCCATTTTCTGTCCCCCACTCGTGGGTCTGAGTTGCCACCTTCGTTGCAGCATGCTGTTTGTCATCCCACACCTGAAGATGGCAGTGGCATTTTCCTCCAAAATGTCGGTATCCATCTACAGAACTAGAAAGCAGGAAAAGTCTCAGAATATAAGAACTGTCGTGCTCTTGTGTGTACGTGACTGTTCAGAACTAGATAGACTTTCCACTTCAGAATTAAATAGAATCAAGTTCAGAACTAGATAGATTCTCCTGTTCAGAACTAGATAGACTTTCCACTTCAGAATTAAATAGAATCAAGTTCAGAACTAGATAGATTCTCCTGTTCAGAACTAGATAGACTTTCCACTTCAGAATTAACAAGAATCAAGTTCAGAACTAGATAGGTTCTCCTGTTCAGGACTAGATATACACTCCTGTTCAGAACTAGATAGACTTTCCACTTCAGAATTGAATAGACTCTAGTTCAGAACTAGACAGATTCTCCTGTTCAGAAAGAGATACATTTTCCACTTCAGAATTAAATAGAATCAAGTTCAGAACTAGATAGATTCTCCTGTTCAGAACTAGATAGACTTTCCACTTCAGAATTAAATAGAATCAAGTTCAGAACTAGATAGATTCTCCTGTTCAGAACTAGATAGATTCTCCTGTTCAGAACTAGATAGATTTTCCACTTGAGAATTAAATAGAATCTAATTCAGAACTAGGTGGACGCTCCTGTTCAGAACTAGCCAGACCTTCCAGTTCAGGAATATGTAGATGCACCTGTTGAGAAGTAGGAAGACTCGTTCAGTAGGCGAGCCTGAGGAAATGACAGAAGCACGCAATGAAGGAAATTATTACAGTGTAGGCCCGTGAATTCGTTCCTACAGGTGTCCTTGTTCAGATCGATATAATTAGAAATGATCGGTCTAGAAGGCCTAGAAGGCGGCGTCTACCAGCGTCTATTCCCGTTTCCATCCCCTGTCGTACTCCCTTGTATTTTCTTCCAAGGTTAGCCCATTTTCGCACTTCGGATAACACCCTGTGTGCCGTATATGCTGTATTACATGTTGCAGGTCAGCATTATTGCAAAGCATGAATATTTGAATTCAATTACGTTGCGAAATTACAGGTTACTTGCAAGTTTGAGGCACATCAGTCTTCGGGCAATGGAGTCAGTAACACAGCCGGATGTAGGATTGTAGCCTAAGTAATCTTTGTGCCCGACCCACACACTGGAGGCCACAAAACATGATACACATTTTAAAATAGAGAGGTATTTGACCTGTGGATTTTGAATTGTTTCTGTATTCTATAATTCAAGGTTATTTCATTATGAGCCACAAATGGTATTCACAGTAACTGCTAAATATAACACACTTTCCTTTCATTTTTATTTCTTCTGCGACAGTGTAACATAGCCTAAGGCGCAGTCTATCAAAGCCCACATAAATAACTTCATGGTGCCGAGCCCTCCTCCAGAAGCGGTCAGTCGCTAAGGTACTTGGCAATTTCCCATAATTTTATGGAGCCAGAAGGTACAAATATTATATTTTTGGACATTAACCATCGTTTTGCCTTTATCTAAAAACCATCCTGTTTATTCTTCCGTAGATAGGGACTAACTCAATCGATTGGGCCCAACTGAGTAGGTTTTACCTTCAGCAGATAGGGACTAACTCTGTCGATTGGACCCAACTGAGTAGGTTTTACCTTCAGCAGATAGGGACTAACTCTATCGATTGGGCCCAACTGAGTAGGTTTTACCTTCGGCAGATAGGGACTAACTCTGTCGATTGGACCCAACTGAGTAGGTTTTACCTTCAGCAGATAGGGACTAACTCTGTCGATTGGGCCCAACTGAGTAGGGTTTATCTTCAGCAGATAGGGACTAGCTCAATCTGTTGGGTCTGAATAGGTTTTACCTTCAGCAGATAGGGACTAGCTCAATCTGTTGGGTCTGAATAGGTTTTACCTTCAGCAGATAGGGACTAGCCCAATCTGTTGGGTCTTAATAGGTTTTACCTTCAGCAGATAGGGACTATCTCTATCGATTGGGCCCAACTGAGTAGGTTTTACCTGAAAACGGAGACAGACTCCAGTCTCCGAAACGTGTTTTGAAGAATAAACAGGACGATGTTTTTAGATAAATACAGGACGGTGGATAATATCCAAAAAATAATGTTTGTACTAATGTAACATCGCCACAAACTTTTAGAGCCCGAAGGTCCATTACCGTCTCTACAAGAGCCAGCCACTTGTCCTTATCCTGTGCCAGATTAATTCAGTCCATATCGCTCTATCCCGCCTCTCTAAGATCAGTCTCAATATCCTCCCATTTATGTCTTGGGCCTCCTAGTCGTCTCTTTTCTTGTGGCTTTCTCACCAAAATTCTTTATGCATTCCTCTTAGTCCCCATACGTGCTACATGTTTTTCCCATCACATCCTCTTTGACTTGATTATTGTAATTATATTTGGTGTACAGTGCAAGTCATAAAAAAAAGGTCACACTGACCAATGAAATTTCTTTTCATTTCAGGTCTGGATTAAGAATTCTGGAGATCCCCGCAGCAATGGTAAATATAAAACCTTATAATTTTGTCAAAGCATTGTGTAAGGAATCCGGTCTAGAAAACCGAGATTAACGGCCGTGGGGATTCGTTGCGCTGACCACGCGACACCCTCTATCCTCTAAAGTTGGCACTAACTTCGCCGCCAAACGGCGGTCGCTCGGTCGGTATAGTTCGCTTGCTGACTACAGGTCACGGAGTTATTGTATAAGGAAGATTAAGCATTTAACACGTTCATTTGAATGATTATAATCTCATATGATTGCCTATAGACGTAAAGATTATTTACTCAGAATTATAATCTTGTCCGTGTTGCTTTATGTCAGTAAAATTAGGTCGCTGGCAGTAGCAGAATGTGATTGGCTGGGAATGTTTGGAACAATAATGCTGGAAAAGGTTTACTAACGAAGATCTTTATAATTTTGAATTCCTCCCCACGTATTAGAATCATCAAATGAAGGGAGGATGAAATATTCAGGGCATGTAGCACGCATGGAAGAGACTAGAAGTTTATGAATATTATTGATAAGGAGATCTTCAGGAAAATAGACCTCTAGCGAGACGTAGGTGTAGGTGGGAGGGTAATATTGAAAAGCATCTTAGAGATAGAGGTTGCGAGAATGTGGTGTGAAATTTCGGGATCCGTAAAATCGTGGGAAATAACTGAGTAGCTAAGCAACTATCAGGTTCTTAGGAAGAGGAAGTTAATTATTCCGTCCTATTGTTCGCATTAGAATGTACACAAGATCTTGGACCAATTTTGTTCGTATTATTCACGAAACGTATTTCTCTTAAGATTTATCGTGATAGCCTTGGTTATTGTTTTCTGGGATGTAAAATTCACCGATATTTCTGAGGAGCACCCTGCTTCCATCTTCAGGGTGCAAGCATTAGCACGTTCCTCGGAAACGTCAGTAAATTTCCATTAGACTACACGGCGTCACATCTTACGAAGCAGTAATCTTATTGACCGCCATGAGAACCACAGACCTCACGTACTCTTACAGTTATCCGCGTAATGTTTTCGTAGAAACTGTGAAGCTGCCAGCAAGGCGCCAAGGAAGCCCTCCCACACCCTGTATTTGGCTGTATGGACGCCCCATTGTGTTCTGTGTGGAACTATACGCCCACGCAGTGAATCGCCTTGACTCTTCGTGAGCGTATTGTTGCTATAACTAACAGTGCCAAGTTGTCTCCACGTGTGTTGCACGCATTCTTCTGTCCGTCCACGTGTGTAGCTTTGTATGTAAATGTACGGGAGGGAAGATATGCACTTCATGTGTTGGAGGGAGGTGGGGGTGTTGGTTCGTATGTGAGTCAAGGCGAGCAATGTAGGATGAATGGTTTATGGGCCTGTACGACAGCTCGCAACATTTCTTGCAGAAACAAATGAAGAAACTGTGGAATTAGATATCTGTCTCATCCGCATGTGACAACAGCCTCATCTCGTGTAGCCATCTCATTTTCTGTGCCAACAGTCTGATCTCGTTCACTCATCTCATTGCTCTGTGCCAACAGTCTGATCTCCTTCACTCATCTCACTGATGTGTGCCAACAGTCTGATCTCGTTCACTCATCTCATTGCTCTGTGCCAACAGTCTGATCTCTTTCACTCATCTCATTGCTCTGTGCCAACAGTCTGATCTCGTTCACGCATCTCATTGGTCTGTTCCAACAGTCTGATCTCGTTTAGTCATCTCAGTCTGATCTCGTTCACTCATCTCATTGGTCTGTGCCAATAGTCTGATTTCGTTCAGTCATCTCATTGGTCTGTGCCAACAGTCTGATCTCGTGCAGTCATCTCATTGAACAGTCTGATCTCATTGGCCTGTGCCAATAGTCTGATCCCATTAGACGTCCCTTCAGTGAAGACTGACACTGAATGTGATAATCTTGAGGAAATGGCGCTTCCACTGCCAAGGCTGAATATCATCTAAAGGCAGGAGGGCTGATGAAGGCTGAATTAAAATTAATCTGAAAGGAAACGGTCGTGACATATCGGCGTTTGTCTCCCGAGACTGAGGAAAACCACCAAGTCACTGACTCTGGATAACCTGTGTCCCGGTTGATGTTCGAGCAGAGCACCTCCCAAATTCAAATCTAGTGCGTTACCCCAGGAGCTAAGTATTCTTTGTTTCCAGTCCATATCTTGGAGTCGAATTGAGTGTCTCTTGAATGCAAATCAGGTCAGCTACCTCTGCAATAACCCGCTTGAATAAAATAAAATTTAATTGCCATCGGCGAACGACCTCCCGACACGGCGTCATCACATTCCAGGTACAATTTCTGAGTAGTCTGCTATATGGTTCCAACTACCGGCGGCGTAGTTAATAGCCCCCGTGAGTGGGATAGTGAGCGTGCCTTACCCCGATGCGGATTTAGCCTTATGACAGTGACTTCACCCAAGTAAAGGGACTGGCCATTCTACGAGTTTTGAAAACTGATTCTCAGAAGAGGGGGGTATACGTTCCTACGTGCACATAAACATCACAAGTAGGAGGGACCTGCTTGCAAGTGGACAATATATTTTTATTCTTTCGCATTTAACATTAACTGAACGAACTTTATGTACCATCACTGAGAAAAGACAAAAGAAGAAAGGTCAGGTGACCGTATTCATTTCCCTATAAATCAGGGGTGTCTAAAATAGGACCACTTAACTCTTTTTCAGCATGAAATTAATATAAATAAAAATTTAGTTCCTACTACAGTTCGATTTAATGGAAATAATTATCTTTTATTCTTATTTTTCACTTCGACACTGAAGATGAAAACATTGCCTTTCTACGAAAAGTCGATGAAATTAAAAGGGACTGCACGGCGTCACATCATAGAAGACAGTATTTTTCATGGTCACCACTGTGAGAACCTCAAACCCAATGCAATTATTATGAAATTTGCTGTTATGAAACCCGTTGAGATTCCAGCGGCATGATTTGACAGCCCGCATCTCAATCCGCGGTTTCCAGGAATATCCCTCCAATTCGTGCTCTCTTTTACATCATAGCCGCTTACACACTAAAAGCTGCAGATCTTCAGACTGATATAAACATATTCAGTTTGTACCTCACAGGAAACACATTACGTCACCGCTACAAAGCCCAACCGGTTAACGCTGTTTAGGGAAATAATCGCTGTTTATTATGAGAACCATACGGAACACATATATACACTGTGTGCAGGATGCAGAGCTTTAGTGTATTAAAACGGGCGGTGCCTATAGTTACCACTGGGTTCTAAATTTTTAAGGAGAATTATGAAATCACAATTTAAGTGAATATACAAGAAACTAACTTGAAAATATATGAATAGAGACTTTGCCAGAATGAACCGTACTAATATCAAGAGATTACTTTAATTTCGGGAAAGAACGGGGACTGCAATGCCGACTGAAGCACTGGTACCATTTACTATCTTTTATTGCTGCCATTTTCTAGTCCTGTCCTTAATTATTAACTAACGCGTAATGACAGAATTTCAAGCTTTAGCCTTTTATGTATATAAGGATTCTTATGTTTTTTTTCGGTACTGACTGAATAACTTCATGGAACAGAGTCCTTCTTGAGTAGTTAATATTTGTTCACCTACTCAAGAAATTCACAGGATCTTGTAGAACCTGAAGGATTATTACCGTGTTCACAAGAAAACGACACTAGCCTCTCCTGAGTCAGATGATTCCAGTCCAAAACCTGCCATCTTATTTCTTTAGGATCAATCTTAACACGTTCTGCCCGTCTACGTCTAGTTCTTCCCCGTGGTCTCTTTCCTTTCGGTACTATATCTACAGTCAACAAGAATAAATCATCCATTCATTCACTCACTCATGGAGCTGAGCCCTTCTTGAGAAGCCGCCAATTGTGCAGCTACTCAAGAACTTTCCAGCATTTTATGGAACCCGAAGGTTCATTACCGTGTTCACAAGAGCCCTCCACTGGTCCCTATCCTGAGCCAGATCAATCCAATCTATAACACCCCATCCTATCTCTCTAAGATCCATTTTAATATTGTTCACCCACCTACTCCTTGGTCTTCCCAGTGGTCTCTTTTCTTCTGGCTTTCCCACCATTATCCTATAAGCATTCCTTTTCTCCCCCATTCGTGCTACATACCCTGCCCATCATCCTTCTTTACTTGAACGTGAATAAATGATAGTTATTAAAAAGACCAAATAACTACTGTCATATTTTGGTTCTGCGGTCCTCACGGCGGTCACTGTGAAGATGTGATGGCGTGTGGTTCGCAGAGGGCCCCATGTTACGGAAGGACATATCGCCCCAATTTTCAGGATTCAAAATAAGGGGACAAGAAACCAACAGAAACATCCGATAAACTTATCAAACGATGATTTCATGCTTGGCTTACTCTTCCGCCTTGAAGATTGTGACGATATGTTCCTCCGAAACGTCGGAATGTCTCCCAATTACACGGCGTTGCATCCCAGAATACCGTAGTCTACATTAATGCTACTTCGATGTTGTTCAGAGGGCGTCCACTACAAACATCTCTATCTGGACCCGAAGAAAAATAATTTTCACCCCTGGTACAGGAACATGGCCGCTTGCTGTGTACAACAGTAAGCTTCTGGGAAGCGGAGATGTTGTATTTCATCCCTTTGTGTCCATGGGTCGATAGCGACACAAACTTTGCAAGAGAGAGCGGATACATTTTCAGAATAGCAGCACCTTATAGGGAGACGCACCATTGTCTGCACTACATTTTGTTTTGACAGTCTGTTTATATTGCTACAGCAGCATCCATTACGTACAGTACACGTAGTGATTCTGCACTGCTTTCTACATTCAAATCCAATAGATACTTTGCATGATAGTGACCATTTTGAATTTTAAATTGCGTGCCATGAGATGTTAGCGGAGGCCCCAGCAGAACTCGATGTCCTTGCAGGGTGTAAAGCCACTGCACCTCTCGAGGGGTATTCACGTCTGCAGACACAAGCAACGGGCAATTTTCCTTTTTAATCTCATTACGAACCGTGGTTACAGACATCATT